AGGCAGACTTTTTACAGCTGTTCAACTCTGCCTTTGCATGGAAGCAAACTGAAACAAGTGGGCCTATTTGTGTTCCATTAAGAGGCTGCAAAAATCACCCAAGTGGCCAGTGGACCAGAGCGTAAGAATTTCCAGACTAGTGAAGTTAGGCCCAATAATAATAGTATGCTAGTATCAAGCCATTTTGGTTTGACACCACCGTGTGGGGGGGTGGAGGGGATGCTGGGGTTGGCACCCAGGGCTCCAGGCTCACTAACTAACCATGTGCTCTACCACTGAGCTACATCCTCAGCCTGGATGCTGCCTGTGTCCCTTGGTGTATGTTACTGGAAGTTTTGCAGCATTGAGTTACTAGGAGCCTAAGCTTGCTGTATCTCATCCTGTTCTATGTAGTTCCTTCCTTTCTGCTTCAGCAGCTAACACTATAACTCACCCCTCAAGCTCCCCAGCAACCATAGTACTAAGTAGCTCCAAGAAAACCAAAAGTGGTGTCTTGGGAGAATAAATGAGCATTTATTCATTAGTTTTTCATATGCTGAAATATAGAGATTCAGCAGTGACCAAAATAAGACTTGTATTTTAAAAGAATTGATGCATTTGGGGTGAGGAGGGTGGCAAAAGGTTGGGGACAGTATGCAGCTGGGAACAGTGTTCTTAGGAAAGGGGCCTCTTTGTAGTTTTGGAGATGCAGTGGGACCTGTGGCAAATAAAACATTAAAGCTAGCATAGATTGCACATGAAGTGTCCTGGGCCTGTAGATCAGCATTTGCATGTGGAGATGACTCCTTCATTTCCTGCCTGAGTGTACTTGCAGTGTAGAAAGGGATACACGTTTTTTGGGTGGTGATAAACATCATTTCAGTTGAGTTGAGGTGTGAGAGGGAGGTGTGGGGCATCCTATTGTGCAGGAACACCAGGAGGGAAGAGCTGTAAGACTGTTTAGCCCTAATGATATAATGGACAATGTGGAATAGGAAGAAAGGGTCTAAAGGTTTAGGGAAAGTGGGAAGGGTAGGGGAAAGGCAATAAGGGAAAAGAAAAATATGAGAAAATGAAAAAGAAATGGAAATGAAGTGTTTGTAAAGAGGGAGGGGAGGAGGGGTGAAGGGAGGGCAGGGGTAAGGGGAAAAATGAGAGCCAGGACCTGTCATGTAAAGGTACAAGATCCCAGTAATGAATGTAACTGTACTGTTTGCCTAAGATGTACCAATAAACTCAATAAGGAAAAAAAAAAAAGATGATGAAAAAAAAAAAGACTGTTTAACCCGTTGACAGTGAATTTTAGTTGCTGCAGTCCTGCTGTCAACCCAACTTTATTAAGGCCACTTTAAATAGGAATGTAAATTTACAGAATCTCTCTGAAAATTATTTTGTATCAAGAGACTTAAAAATCCCTTCAGACCTAGGTATTCCACTTTTGGAAATTTGCTAATTAAAAAAAAAATACTGTCTTTGATCATTTTCTCTTGCTGTAACTGAATGCCTCAGGTTGAATAATTTTTTAAGGAAAAGTGTTGTGTTTGATTCAAAAATGGTGTTTTGCTCACTGCATTGAATGGTAAGGAGTTCAAAATCATGAGGCCATCATATCTAGTGGATCTTTTTTGATGGTGTAGGTTGTCACAGGATAAGAGGCGGAGCTGCCTAACTCATCTTTCTATCTCTCTCTCTTTTTTTTGGTACCGGGGATCAAACTCGGGTCCTTGTGCTTGTGCTGTAGGCCCTGGAACCACTGAGCTAAATCTCCAGCGGCCCTCATCTCTTTTCTTATAAAGCCACAATCTCATTGTGTTAGGGTTCCACCCTTGTGGCCTCATTTAACCTTAATTACCTCCTGGAGGTCTCACTGTGGAATGCTGTGGCTAGTTTAAGTTTCTACCTCTTTATACCTCCCCCAAGTGTCAGCTGCCATTTGGTAGGGCATTCAAACCATGGCAAATACTATATGGACAGACTTTGAACACAAAAAGCTCATCAGAAATACAAATCTAGGTGTGTAAATTCCCAGTATTGAGGTCAAATAGTTTAATAAAATTTAGTTACATAAAGTGGAATGTTAAATAGCCATTATGATTATATATTTGAGAACTTTTTCCAGTCTAGGAAAATTGTTTTGGTAAGGATGAAGAATTGCAGGTATCTCCTAGACTTTGATGTGCATATCAATCACCTGTGAGTCTTAGCAAAAAGGCAGATTCCAATTTAGCGGGTTTTGGGTAGGTCTTGAGATTTTGCATTCCTAACCATTTTGAATGGAAAGGTGCTCGATGAAGTAAGCCAGGCACAGAAAGACAGATGCCTCATGGGCATACTCACATGTGAGATCAGAATAGAACCTGGTTGCCACAGACAGGGAGTGGTGGAGAATGGGTCGCAGGGCACAGTTGTGTTTATGTAGGAGTAAATGGTGAGTTATGTGAGGTGACTGATATGTTGATAGCTTGATTTAATCATTCCACATCGTGCCTGTATAACATCACATCATAAATATATTCATACTACTTAAATATATACGATTAGAATCTGTCAGTCAAGTCTTTAAGTGCAAGGTGACTTTTCTTAACAGAACAGAAAAATACACCAAAAGTGTAGAAGTGGTTCCCTCTAAAAGAGGGTGTTATTGGCCCTCTTTCCCTGAGTATTTTACTTTTCTGCATTTGTCATATTTTCATTGTGAACGTTAATGGTATAAATTAGATGGCTTCTATTTTTTGAGTGCTTACTGTGTTTTCAGCCAATGGTCATTAAGTGAGTTGCATGCATTAGTTTGTTTCATTTTCAGTGAATCCTGATGAGGTAAATGGAGGAGGATGCCTACCTTACGTGGTTTTATGGACATTTTTTAGGCTGATCCATGTTAAGTAGCTGGTTTAGTTAGTGCCCAGCTTCTATTAAATCTCAGCAAATGGAAGCTTCTATGATGATGATCATTATTATTATTATTATCTTCTTTTATGTGAGACGTTGAGCACAGAGGCTGTGAGTAATTTTGGGAACACATAGCAAAGAGGTGACCTGACCTGAATTTCAGCACAGATCTGACTTCAGAGGTCTCTGTTTCAGTATCTCAGTGTGTGGAGGGACAGAGACAAGTGCATCTCCTCCCTATGTAGCCTCTGCAAGTGGACCTTGAGAACTTCCTGCCAGCCTACTGCATTCCAGCTTCTAGAGGCATGGCTATGTTGTTGCTTAAGTTTGCCAAGAGCTTCTTCTAAATGTCTTTATTACTGTTCAGAAATTAGGGTGTAATTTGACATAATATAAAATGAGAATTGTGTGGCTGAGTAGAGAGAATATTAGGCAACCAAATTTAACAAAATCTTACTTTTCATTTAGTATTAAGTAAATGCCAACAGGGTAAAACAAATCCATGTACATATATGTTTATGCATAAAATATGAAGAAAAATAGTGTATACCCCTGACCCTACCACTGTTTTCCCCTGAAGACAACAGTGTTTCTGAATTTTCTTTTCCTTGCTTTCCTTGTGCATTTCCACATAGGCTCTCCCTAAGCAATAAATTTTGCACTTGTGGGATTGTATCTTATATATTCTTCAGCTTGCTTTTTTTCAGCAAATATTTATGCTTCTGAGTTTTATTGATATTACTGTGTGTAGCTCTACTTTGTTCATTTCACCGATTCTGTTTTGTAACTATCCTGCAGCTTCTTCATTCAGTCTGCTTCAGTAAACCTCCAGGTTGGTTTGTTATTTCTGACAGTGCTGTGGTGAAGATTGCTCAGGTTCATGCTGCCCCTCTGCAGAAGTTTTGTGGGTTTATGTCTAGGAGTACAATTGCTAGGTCGTACGGCAGATGCCACCGTAAGCTCTATTAAGTAATGCTGAATTATTTTTCAGAGTGGAAAGTGGTTGTACTATTAGTGCATACATGTCTTAGTTATTCTACATTTTCACCAACATTTGATATAGTCAGGCTTTTACATTTTGCCCATCTGGTTAATGTAAAATGACACTATGTATATATTTAACTTTTAAAATTATGATGTCCTAGATAGATGTGGTGTCACATGCCTGAAATCCCAGCAGTTGAGAGGCAGAGGCAGCAGGATCTCTGCAAATTTGAGCCAGCCTAGAGTACATAGTGAGATCTTCTCTGTTTTAGTTTTATAAGTAATCCCCCAAATGACAATAGACCTATCTGGAAACTTTTGGAATGCAAATTGTGAATGCTGTCCTGTGAAACACTGTAGAATTTTAATTTCATTTGTTTAACATTTTTGTAGTATATAAGATCTTTTATGATAATTTTCAAAATTCAACTTTATTGGTTTTCAATTTCAAAACACATTTTGCATATTCTAAATTACTTTGCTTATTTTTTCAGTGCTGGGGCCTCACATATGCTAGTCAAGTTCTGTAGCACTGTAGTAACTCAGCTCATTGTAAATTATTTTCACAGCAAGAATTTTCCTTTTTTCTTTTTTTGGAAACTGGGTCTTGCTACGTGGTTCAGGCTGTCCTCAAATTTAAGGCAATCCTCCTGCCTCAGCCTCCTAGATGCTGGGATTACAGGGGTGCACCACCTGGTGGCTCAAAATTTTGCTTAATGATGATGAAATCTAGGGTATTCAGCTGATTCTGCAAGAAAAATACTTACCTTAGAGTTAAGGATGAATTCAGTGGTACTGCACCTGCCTGTCGAGACGAGGGCCCCGAGTTTGACTCCCGGTACTGGAAAAAAAATACTTACTTTAAAAATTGAAATTATAATAATTTACATTAATCCTCCTTATGTTTCTTCTTTTGATTGGTGTACTTACCTTTGGTACTTATAAACCATTTGTCCTTTGTTTGATAGCTATGAGAAGAATTTGCAGAAATATGCAGAACTTTCTAACTTGTTATCTGATAAGTCACAAGATTATAAATAATAGAACAGTATCCAACATCAGGGAATAATTACATGGAAAGACAGTTTTAAGGTTGGCTGCTGCTGAGAATTCTTTTGCCAATTTAAAAAACACCTTTTATGTTTTAGTACCAGTATGAACGAGCGGGTGAACCGAACAGAAAGACAGTTTCGATCACTTCCGGATAATCAGCAGAAACTTCTTCCTCAGTTTCTTCTTCACTTGGACAAGATCCGGAAATGCGTTGATCATAATCAGGAAATACTACTGACCATTGTGAATGATTGCATACATATGTTTGAAAATAAAGAATATGGAGAAGATGTATGTGAAAGTTTGTTTTTCTTGTTTTTACTGTACAGTTTAACTAATAAACTTTGAAGGCATTTTTTACTGTATAGTTTAATAAACTTGAAAGTAAATTTCCTAGACTTCAAGTTTTATAATCTTGTGCAGGTCATTTCCTCTGCTCAGCGAGTGGTTCCATTATATGTCCAGGTATTTACTTAAGCTGAATAGAACTATTTGCCAGCAACTAGATTTGCTCACTGATTCTGTTTTTAAATACTAAGATATTGTTGGCATTTTGATACACTTTTGTTGCAGTGTTTTAAATGTTCTGGCATGTAAATTTTTATAAAGAACTTTACTATGTAAAATTAATTTCCCTTCCTAAACTCATATATTTTTCCATCTTACTATTGTTATGCATCTTTTTCTTTAAGAAAATATTTTCACGGAACTCTCAAGGGACTGCTAGTTCTGGAAACTGAAGTCTTTTTTTTAATCCATGGGAGAGATACAGGTGGCTAGATAGTGAGAGATACAGTGTGAGCCTCTCCCTGCTGCTCTCATAATGGCCTGCAGGGACATTCTTCCCCCTCTCAGAAGACAGGATGTCCAGTCTCCATAGCAGCTCAGTCTGGTCTCGTGGCGGTTTTATGATTAATGACCCTAATCTGTTGAGGATATTTTTACTTAGGAGCTCATGCTTCAGTGGACCCCAGTGTAGCATGTCTGTTTACCCATATTCAGAATTGATTTTCAGAACTAATTAATTTCTGTTTTTTTAAACAGGGCAATGGAAAGATCATGCCAGCATCTACATTTGACATGGATAAGTTAAAATCTACATTGAAACAGTTTGTGAGAGACTGGAGTGAAACTGGGAAAGCAGAAAGGGATGCCTGCTACCAGCCAATCATTACAGAAATTTTAAAAAATTTTCCAAAAGAAAAATGGTAAATAGTATGCTGTTTTTAACCACATTCTTAAGATGTATAAACATAGTTTCTCTGTAAGACATTTCACAATCTTGATTCATTTTTATAGGTTGCTCTATGCCTGCATACTTTGCATGTGTGTTATATTGGTTTTTGGATGCTCTGTGTGCGGTTGTAATTCATATTGAGTACATTTTGTTTATAGGAAGTTATTTAGGAGTTACTATAAATAATATTAGAAGGAATATTCATTATTACTGATATGCATCATTTTATAACTTGCAAAACAAAAGCTGCATACTTCTCATTATAACTGGTAAGCAAATGAAGTGTCTATACTTTTTTGTTTTGTTTTGTTTTTTTGAGACAGGGTTTCACTATGCAGTGCAGGCTGGCCTTGAACTTACAATCAAGCCCAGCCTCTCCTTGAACTCAGTGATCCTGCTTCAGCCTCCCTAGCGCTGGGATTACAGGAGTGCATCTCCATGTCCTGCTGAGATGTCTACTTCAGAAAGAAAGTTCTTAACTTCTTTGTGCCAATTGAGTTCTTAGGCATTCTGGCCTTAGTCTCCTTTTCAGAATAACATTTGTAAATGAATAAGTAAAACGCACTGGATTTCAAAGAAACCATTATTCTGAAATAAAGTTATCAAAGTACAAAAGCACATTTGAGATATATTAGGCCTTTTACCATACATTAAATCAATGAATATAGCCTAGCAGTAAATGTAACTACTGAATTAAGAAAATGCCTAGTGGTTTTTTATTACGATAACCAAAACAACTGATGTGAAATGAAAATGAATGTAATCTCTATTAGTCCCAGGTATTGCTAAAACTACTATTGCTTGTTGCTTACATTCATCATTGAGAAAAATATCAAAGACTAGTGAAATTAAAATGTGATTTTTTTTTCCATATCCCCACTGACTTAAATGCTCTGTAAATGGAACCACTGAAAGGAATTCAGTCTCTCTCGAGGATCTTTGTATAGATGCTTCTTGTCCACATCTCCTTTCCCTCTTTACTGATTGACAATTTTTAAGTTTGAGCATATCCTTCCAGAAATGTCAGTACATGTATGTGTGTCTCTTTTCTCTCTCTTTTTACCTGTTTTAAAATAAGTTCAAAATTAGGGCAAAATTGCATGACCTATACAGAGACATCCCATATACTTCTTACCTAAATTCATCAGTTTGTAGCATTTTATTATACTGCTTTGTCATTTCCACCCTCCCTCTCTCCCTCCCATCTTTCATTATTTTATGCATGTGTCTCCAACACTGATACAGGACATAATACCAGAGGTGAAATATGAAATATATTTCTCAACCTGTTAGCTGTCTGATAATGCCAAGCTTTTGTTCTCTAAAAATTAAAGAATGAATTACAGGAACAAGGGAGGTTAAGAGCAGGAAGATATTTACTAATAAGGGTAGCTACTGACAGGCAGGAGGGAACCCAAGTGGGTAGCCTGGGGCCATTTTACAGAGCAAAACCCACATGGTACAGCATGGGCCACAGCTATGATCAACCAATAAGGTTACAAGTGTAGTCACTTAGGTAATAGTGTCCACTTGGGAAACAAGTTACACAGCAAGTGTGGATGAAAAGAACAAAGACTTCTAGAAGATGACAGGTCTAGAAGTCTCTGGTCACCCACTGGAGTGGCTGGTGTCTAGCTAGACTTCATTAAGCCAGTGTTTGATCTTTAGGAAGTATATAGGTCTGGTCATCCTGTTTTTATCTTGAGGCCTTGTTGCCAGCAGATGTTTCTGTCCACAGTTGTGGTATGTTTCACCTTTGTCCTGACTCGAGGACCCAGCCCTATTTGACTGCCTGTAGTATTTCTACCTAATTCATTTAGCTGTCTGTAATAACACAACCCACACTTGGCATTTTTGAAGAATTCACAGAAGCTATTTTACAGAATATGGTGTGCTTTTCAAGATAGCACATCCAGAGACATGCTGTGTTTCTGGGGTTTGGGTAGATCTTATCCTCAGGTCAGAAATTATCTGCTGTTTTCCCACAAATTGCTTTTTCTTCCTGGGACTCCAGTAACATATATATGAAACTGACGTCCTCTCTTAGGTTTTACATGGCCTTTTCCTCTGTATGTCAGCCCCTAACTTTTTGTAATACAGCTTGGATAATTTCTTTTGACCCTACTTCAGCATCACTGATTCCTTACTATGTTAATCTGACAAGTCCTTTGAAAGGATTATTTGGTACTGTATTTCTTTACATTTCTAGCACTTAGATATATTTTCTACATTGAGATTACCTGTTTATACATGTGATTACCTTTTTTCCCCTTGGTATCAGGACCTTGAGCTTTTGAGGCAGGCCTGGTGTCATGAGCTAAATCCCTGGCCCAAATGTGATTGCCTTTGCTATGATATGATTTAGCATATCTTTCATGAATAATTTTTTAAAAGAATTTTTTGGTTTTTTGAGACAGGATCTCACTATGTAGTTGAGACTGACCTGGAATTCACTATGTAGCTCAGGCTGGTCTTGAACTCACAGCGATCCTCCTGAGTGCGATTACAGGCATGTGCCACCACACAAAATTTTTTGGTTTTTTGAGACAGGATCTCACTATGTAGTTGAGACTGACCTGGAACTCACTATGTAGCTCAGGCTGGTCTTGAACTCACAGCAGTCCTCCTGAGTGCGATTACAGGCATGTGCCACCACACCTGGCTTTCATGGATATTTTTAAATCTCTGCCTGATCATTTCATTATTCCTATTGTTTATGGATCTTTCCCCCCTATTTTGCAGTACTGGGGATAGAGCCCAGGGCCTCACACATGCTAGGCAAGCCCTCTGCTATCAAGCAGTGTTACCTGCTATGGGTCTGTTTTTTTAATACTTTCTGTCACATGTCTCGTAACTTTTTGATGATGCCAGACATTATATATAAAGGAACAATAGATATGGAACTAAATAATATTAAAAACCCCCTATAAAGGTATTTTACTTTATCTAGTAGGCTACAAGTGGGAGCTGAATGCAAAGTTTAAGTGTTTATAATTTCTGCTGTACTTGCATGTGTTAGCTGCTACAGTCAATTCCTTAATAAAAATTGCATCTAATGATAAGGTAATGCAGGAATATTATCCCTCTTTTTATGAGCCCTTTTTATAAAGTGAGATAGTTTCAGAGGTTTCATCTGCATTTTATCTTTTATTTCATAGACACTTTTATTTCTTCCTGTAGTAACAGGAAAATCTTTGCAACATTAAGAAGTACTTGGATTCCACAGGCATAAAGAGTTCTCATCTGTAATAAATTGACTGTGTCACCAGGAAACCATTGGTGTATTGGAGTAAGGCATGCATTTCAGTCAGGTTTTAACATGTGTAGCTGCTGATTAACTTATTAATTAATTAGTACTTACTGGTCTCTATATCATATAGATTGCTTCCAGTTGAATAAATTTGCTATGGTAAGTTTTTTTGGGGGGTGGTCCGAGGGGTTGAACTGAGAGCCTCACTTATGCTAGGTAAGTGTTCTACCACTGTACTGTATCCCAGCCCTTTTCCGAATTTTATGGAGACCAGATTTTTCTGAATTATCAGGCTGGCCTTGAACTTGTGATCTACCTGGCCAGTAATTTTTTGACATGCTCTGCTATAATTTCTGAACATGCAAATAAAGGTGGAATAGATTAATTATGCATTTATGGTTCACATATTACCTAAAGCATTTATTATTCTTATTTCATTATTATTGATGTTAAATATTCTTTTTTCCTTATACTTTTTGGTACTCCTTTTTTATATGGATCAGAAATGATTTGTCATATGTGATATTGCAGATACTTTGCACTTATTTGCCTGTATATCCCTGTTGAATACGTGATTTGTTGATATTTTCTCTCATTCTGCCAATCGTTTTCACTGTTAATAGCATCCTTTGATGCATGCAAGTTATTAATTTTGCTGAAGTCCAGTTTACCTATTTTCTTTTGTTAGCTTGTGCTTTTCATGTCCCATCCATCATCAAGATTTTCCCCATGGCTTCATCTAACGGAATATAGGTTTAAATTCTCAAGGTTTTTTTTTTTTTGTTTGTTTGTTTGTTTTTGTTTTTGTACTGGGGATCGAACACGGGACCTTGGGCTTGCGAGGCAGGAGGCAGCACCACTGAGCTAAATCCCCAGCCCTAATTCTCAAGTTTTTATCTTTGATCCATTTTTGAGTTAATTTTTTATGTGGTATAAAGTTAGGGCCCAGTTTCATTCTTTTGTGTATGGATAGTCCGTTTTCCCCACACCCTTTGTTAGTATGTGAGGGTTCATTTCTAGGCTCTGTATTTTATTCCGTTGGTCTGTCTGTATATTTTGTCTGAGCTCATGCTATTGTAATTACTGCAGCTTTGTAAGTTTGTAAAGTTGGGAAGTGCAAGTCCTTCAACTTTATTCTTTTTCAAGATTATTTTGGCTATTTGTAATTCCACATGAATTTCAGGATAAGCTTTTCCATTTTTACAGAAAGGACTTGGAATTTTGAGAGGAGTTATTTTGAATATGTGGATTGCTTTGGTAGTACTGACATTTTAACAATGTTAAATTTTTTTTTTTTTTTTTTTTTTTGGTACGGTGGATTGAACTCTGAACCTTGTGCTTGTGAAGCAGGCAGTGGAACCACTGAGCTAAATCCCTGGCCCAACAATTTTAAATCTTATATCCATGGACATGTGGTGTCTGTTTTCTCAGATCTTTGATTTCATCTTTAATTTCTATTTTCTAAAGAAATTCAGCAATGTTTTTATAGTTTTGAGTATGTGTGTGATCAAAATATACAGTGAATATTTAAATAAATTATTACAGTAAAAGACACATTCACTCTCACTTTGAACACACTTTCCCATCATTCATGCCCCTTTCTGAAGCATTCCTGGAAGTCCTTTTTTGTGTCTTTTTAAGGTATGATAAAAATATAAATGCTGCCGCCAGGTACTATCTACTGGATGTGCAGGCCTGCACAGAAGATTACAGTGTGTCTT